CCTTCTCCCTTCTCCCTTCTCCCTTCTCCCTTCTCCCTTCTCCCTTCTCCTCCCCCCTCTCCTCCTCCTCCTCCTCCTCCTCCTCCTCCTCCGAGTGCTGCTTCTAAGGACCTCCTGGAAGAGCCAAAGCTCATCAGACCCCTTGCAAAAAGCTGCATTTCACTCGCCCAGTTTTGCTGAGGGCCGCCAGCAGGGGGCGCTGAGCTCTCTCCTTCGACTGGAGGCCTATGCAGAGCGGCCAGCCAAGGGCGGCTTTCTCCAAGGGGCCCTGGGAGCTGAGAGTGGCTGAAGGGCCACTCGGCCAAAACATAAGTGTGCGTGTGTGTGTGTGTGCGTGTGTGTATGTGCTCCACTGCCCCCTTCCCCTTGCAATGCATACATAGACCCTTTAGCGCGGTGGTGTCCAACCATGGCCATTTTCAGACCTGCCGACTTCAACCCCGCCGGATCAGTGGTGGGACTCTTCCGGTTCGGCCCAGTTTTGCCGGTCGCAGCCATGAGCAGCGGAGACGGAACCAGTTCTCTCTGCCGCTCTGCTGTCGGGCCCTCCCTTCCCCTGGGGCTCCTATACTCACTTTCCCCTTTAGTTTATGAAGCCTCTGAAGCAACCGGGAGAGGGCAGGAAGCCACGCCCACCAAACCGGTGGTAAAAGTTGTTAGGAGTGATAGTCACCTAACAGTTGGGTTGGCAATATATAACCCAGGATAGTTTTATTTAATACTGTTGTATCTTTGAGAGAATGCTGTAATTGTGGTTGGCTGAGGTTCCTCCGACGGCCATAAAATGGATCCTGAACCCTGGTTTGTTCTTGCATTTCCCTTGTTGCCTTTTGCCTAATTGTCGTTCTGCTGGAATTGCTGTGAGTCTTGCAACTGCTCGCAAACTCCATTTACTTAACTTTGTTTTATGATACTGGTCAAGAAAAGAACTTCGTTTTTTGGATTATCCCTGGACTGATACCAACTGCTTTAACCGCGTATGATTTGGACTGTTTGTTGGACTTTGTCTACCCATTTACAGGAAGTAAAACCTACATTTGACTATTCAGTGTATCTGTGTGCTGGTTGTGTGTTATTCCTCACCACTCTCACTATGTTTCCCTGAGCGCGCTCGTTCTCCTAACGGGGAATACCTCAACAAAAGTTTTTGAATCCCACCACTGCCCCGGAGGCTCCCGCCAGCCAGCCGTGCATGAAATCGGGGAGTCGAAGCACTCAGGTCTGAAAGTGACCATGGTTGGACGCCGCTGCTTAGAGTGTCCTCTCTTCAGGACGCCGATTGATCGACGTAGCTTGTGCTGTCCAGACAGTTCATGGGATTTGAGATAGTTTGTAAGGAATTGGGAGCTGTCCCCTTAAGGGAATGCATCATGGGAAATGTAGTTAAGGTGTCCTGGGAAATGTAGTCCATGTCATGTGGCCACATCTGTAACCCTGATTGGTCCTTGGTGGGTTGGGGGAGGTTTCTTCCCTTTTGCCTGAACACACAGCTTCATGGTAGCAACTGCACCCCCTGATTCTACTGCTATGGGATGAAATATGGGATAGAAAGATGACTATCATTTTACACTACGATTTCAACTGGGCAAAGAATTGGACATTCGAGGCATCTCGACATAACGGTGAGTGACCTTGAGGATACCTAATATAATCCAATAAAGGAAACTTTGTTCTTCTATCTGTCTTTATAGGCAGCAAGTGAATCGTAAGACAGAATAGAGCTCGCCACTCGCTTCCTCCTGAGCGCATAAGACCCCCCCCTACACACACACCCCGATCAGCCCAAGCGCCCGGAGACTCCGCCCTCAGAGCAGTGACCCGCCTGGGGAATCCCCCAGCTCCGCAAGGGCAGCCGCCTCCCCTCCCTCCCCTTTCACCACACAGGCCGGGAGGACTCCCCACAGATACGGGGAGGGAAAGAGAACAGGCTGCAGAGGGACACCCCCCCACACTTTGGAGGCTTGGGTTTCTGCCCCTCCCCCTCCCCACCAGCCGCCCGGGGAGACCCGCAGCTGGGCTCAGCAGGTCTCGCCCTCATTTGCCAAGCGGGAATCTTGGGGCATAACTTGGTGGTCCAAGGCCTCTGCGCTCGGCACCCATTCTGGCCAAAGAAGAGTTGCTGCCCTCCCCTCCAAGAGACCCAGACCAGGCTGTTGGGTTCAGTGCTTTTATTACCCAAAGCGGCCCTGCCCCCATCATCAGCCCCCGTGGCGCCTTGGCCAACTTGTAGGGCTTCGGGGTCACTGTCCCTGCCTGCAGCGACAGCGGGCGAGTCACGGGCGGGTGGGCAGTGCTGGCAGCAGCCTCTGGCCCCTGTGGCTCCACATCTGTGCAAACTCCAACTTGGAGGAGGGCAAGGGGGGGGGGGCTGCCAGCCGAAGCGCCCCAAGTACACTTCGTCATCCAGGCGTAGCAGACGTCCAGGAGTCCCACCGCGGCTCCTTGTCCTCCCACGGCCTCGGGAGCCGCTCCAAAGGCGCCCAGCTCAGGGCTGGTGGGGCCCAGGGAGCCCCGCCGCAGATCGGGCCACCTGCTCCGGTCCAATCTGGTCTTCTGAGGCGGCTTCTTCAGAGACGTGTTATCCTGGGCCGAGCAATCTGTGCCTGCAGGAGGAGGAGGAGGGTCAAAGGCAAGGCGGGGGAGGGGGCTGGCTTCAGAGCACCAGGAGGGCAAGCCAGCTCTCCCCCCCCACAGGGGAGAGGGAGGGGGCAGGGAAGCCCTGTAGGAGGAGCCCTGCCTAACCGGGGCCTGCAGCCCCATCCCTCCCCCCACAATCAGGCACCTGTCCTTACTGGGGTTCACTGCCACCCCCTTTGCACCCCCCTCCCCACCCCCTTTGCCCTGGGTTCCCTGGGAAGGGGGCTGCCCCTCCCGCCTCCCTCCCTGTCCTGGGAGGGTCACCCCCCCACACACACACCCCGCCCTTTCTGGACCTGGAGGGAAATGTCCACTTGGTCGAGCCGAGGCTGGAAGCTGCCCTGGGTGGGCGTGGGGCTGGCGTCCTCCTGGCTGGTGCTGGCAGAGGGACCTGCGGGGAGAGAGCGGGGGGGGGGAGGGGGCGCAATGAGCCGTCCAGCCGTGGGGCGCATCCTTGCCCCGCCTCAGATAGGAAGCTGGCCCCCCTCTTCCAGAGATGCTTCTGGCAGGACCTACCTGGCTGCTCTTGCTGGGCTGGGGGGCTCTGTCGGGGGAGGCCCTGAGGCCCGGCCCTCCAGTCCGGCTCATTCTCGTACCACTTCTCCTCGCTGGGGTTCGAATCCAAGCGCCTGGGGGAAGCAGGAAAGGCGGTCAGGGAGACCCAAGCTCTCTCTCTGAGTGGCCTGCAGGAGGACTCCCGACTGAGCCCGCCCCTCCAGCGGATGTCCCCCCAGGAAAGAGGGGCTCCCACACCCCTACATTTGAACCCGGAACCTCAAACTCAGCACGGCCTGAGGAAGAGGCCCCTGTTCTACGGGGGGAGGGACACCTTTGGGCTAGTTTCCTGCCGGTGCTTTGACCTTCTCGTTGTTTGCTCTTTCTGTTTGGACTGCAAGTTTGAAGCGCTTGGCAAATTGCCCCCGCGGAAAAAGGTCGCCTCCCGGAACCTGCCCAGAGCAAACACGCCACCCGCAAGCCAGGCAGGCCCGGGGCGGAAGGCTCGCCAGGCGGCTGGGAGAGGCCGCAGGAGGCCTTCCCGAGCTCGGGCCAGGACTTGCCCCTCCAGGCCTGGCTGGGGTCAGCAGCCGCTGCCCAGGAGGTCCTGCCAACGTACCTGGGCTCCTTCCTTGAGCGGCGGCGCTGCCAGCAGAGGAGGGCGGCTAGGAGTAGGATGACCAGCAGCAGGACCGCCAGGCCCAGGGCCACCCCCACGGCCACCCCCACCTTGCTGATGCTCTGGTCACAGTGGCGGCCGGTGTACCAGTAGGCGTCCGACTGTTGGCAGCTGGAAGAGACGGGCAGAGTGGGAGGGCTGGAGGAGGATGCCCGGGGTGGGAACAGCCTTTCTCCAACTGGGACGGGGTGGGGGGCGCAGATGCCCTGCAGCCCTTAAGGCCATGAGACCGAGAGGAGGGTCCTGCCTTACTCCCAGGGCACCCTGGAACCCACATTACGTATCGGATATTAACACAATTGAGAAAGTCCAGAAATATTTCACGAGAAGAGTTCTCCACTCTTCTATTCGTTGCAGAAGACTTTATGCCACCAGACTTGAAATTCTAGACCTAGACAACCTTGAACTACACTGCCTTCGATCTGATCTAAGTATAGTACATAAAATCATACATTGCAACGTCCTTCCTGTCAATGAATCCTTCAGCTTCAACCATAACAACACAAGAGCACACAATAGATACACACTCAAGGTTAACCGCGCCAAACTTGATGGCAGGAACTACGACTTCAGCAATAACAGAGCGGTCAATGCCTGGAATCCTCTACCTGACTCTGAGGTTTCTTCCCCAAACCCCAAAAACTTTAACCTTAGACTGTTTACTATGGACCTCACCCCTTTCCTAAGAGGTCTGTAGGGGGCCTGCATAAGCGCACCAACGTGCCCACCGTCCCTGTCCTATTATTTCTTTTTATTTTTCTTATATGTATCCTATATGTACCTTATATATATTTCTTAAATGTATTTCATGTATTCATAACTATGTTTATACTTATACCGTCCCTGTCCTATTGTTTCTTTTATTTATTTTTCTTATATGTATCCTATATGTACCTTATATATATTTCTTAAATGTATTTCATGTATTCATAACCATGTTTATACTTATACTGTCCCTGTCCTATTCTTTCTTTTTATTTTTCTCATATGTATCCATTTCATGTATTCATAGCCATATTTGTACTTATACCTGTTACCTTGTAAGCGATTGACAAACCAAATCAAATCAAATCAAATCAAATCAAATCAATCAATAAACAAACAGGCTGGGGGCAGTTCTGCTTTGGGCCCAGGGTCTTCAAGGTCTCGTGGGTGGCTCCATCTCCCCCTCCCCCCCCCCCCCCCCCCCAGGCCCTCCCCCTCCCAAGCCCAGGCAGGGTCCGAGGGCGAGGGATGGAGCCCAGCCTGCTGGCCATGGGGACCCCCCCAGAAGCTCCATCAGGGTTGGGCTAGTGACTGAGTGGAGGGGCCCAAGCCCACCTGCCTCCGACTCCCCCACTCCCGCCACACTCACTAGCAGTTCGGCCCGCTGGTCTGGATGTAGCAGTTTCCCATGTCGCAGCGGAAGGGATCCGGGTGGAAGACGCTGCAGTTGGAGACGCACTGCAGCTGGTTGCTGATGTTTCGGGCCAGGTAAAAGGGCTGCAGCTCTTGTTGGATCACCGAGTTATTCCTGCAGGTGTTGAACAAATCTAGCAGGCAGGAAGAGAGGAGCCGAGTCAGGCACACCCACATCGTGGCCCCTGGGGACCCCAGCCTCTGCCCCCCAAATGCCACGCAGCCCCTCCCCCAAGGATCCAACGTGCCCACTGAGACCTCCAGCCGAGGGGCCTGCCTGCCTTCCCTTCGGCTACTTCTCCCTCTGTGCCCAGGAAGGGTTACCTGCGCAGCAGGTGTTACCCACCCACTCCCACACACACACACAGACACAAGCAACACACTGCACGCTCCCGCTCTCACCTTCCGGGCTGAGCGGCACCTGTGTCACCCGAGAGTCGCTCGCGTTGAAGCACAGCTTCTCTGAAAGAGATCCGGTTATCCCACTGTGAAAAGCTCCGGTGGGCGTTGGAAAACGGGCCCCGATCCAGGCCGAGGGCCCGCAGGAGAGCCGAAGAGAGGAAGGGGCTTTTCCCAGGCCTGGGATATTGCACACCCCCCACCCACCGGCCCCCAGTAACCCCTCCCCTCCGCCCTCCCCCTTCCTCCCCCAGGAAACTCGGCTGGGAAGGAGCGCAAAGGGGAGCAGAAAGCCCCCCACTCCTGATCCTCACTCCCCTGGCAGCAAGGGGGGCAGCTGAGAACCGCCCGCCTTTGGCCCTGTTTACCAGCCAACCTCCTTCCCCCCCCAGGTCAGACTCCCCTCCCCACCCAGGAGCCCAGACAGGGCCTCATTGGCGAGGGACCGGCCGATGGCTGCCCCGTTGGCCCCGCGTGAGCCCCTCCACGCCCAGGGCTGCTGTTGCTGCGGGTGGGAGCGGGGGGCTGAGCCAACCGAGGTCCCCTCACCTTTGGACTCGGAAGTGCAGACTTCCTCCTTGCTGTGCAGCCTGGCCTGGATCTCGTCCACGGCCGCCGCGTAGGAGGCCTGGTACTTGGAGAAGGGCACCCGCAGGACCACCTGGTGCTCCACGTTGATGCTGCCGTTGCTGGCGGGAAGGGAGGGGGAGGAAGAGGAAGAGCTTTACTGGGCCCCTGGGAGGGGGGAGGGGGGTGCCCGCTGCCCTGGGCGGGGCCTTTGCGTAAGGACAGGTGGAGGTGGCTGACCAGCAACAGCAGGGGTGGGCAAACTTTTTGGCTCGGGGGCCGCATTGACTTTTATAATTTGACAGACGGGCCGGGCCAGCACAAGATTTTTGGGGAATTGCCCCCCCTGCCCTTCTCTCCCTTCTTCTCCTCCTTCCCCTCCCCTCGGAGGCCCCCTGAGTCAGGAGTTGCTATCGCCGGCGCAGCTCCAAGCGGCTCCAGTCCCGCGTTGCCTCGGGAAGGGAAAGGCAAAAAGGAAGAGCCGCGGTGGCGCTTTGCAACGGCAGCAGCGGCATCGGAGTCTCAGGCTCAGCGACTCCTGGTTTTGCCTTTCCCTTCCCAAGGCAACGCGGGACTGGAGCCGCGCGGAGCTGCGCCCGCGGTAGCAACTCCTGACAGCCCCAGCCGGACACCGGAGCGGAGCCCAGGCGGAGGGAAAGCAGTGGGCGTTCCCTGGGCGGCGACCTTGGCCCCGCCACCAGGGAAGCGGCTGCCAGGCTCCGTGTTGTGTGTGCGATTTTATGGTGTGCGGCGCGGGGTCTCTTTTGGCCGGCCCCCATTTTTTTTTCAGAGGGGAATTTTTTTTTTTCAGAGGCGGGCCGTATTAAAATGACCAACGGGCCGGATGTGGCCCACGGGCCGTAGTTTGCCCACCCCTGAGCAACAGCCTCCCCCAAACAGGCTTCCCACATAGTTTACCTCAGACGCATCACGACGACTTTCTGGTACCCAGAGATGTTGGCATAGAAAATATCCATCTGGGGAGAGACAGAGAAAGAGAGAGAGGGACTTACAAAAAGAGGGGAGGGGTCATTGCAACGAAAGTATCTCTGTTGCCCACCCCAAGTGAGCCGCCATTTCACCCCAGACCTGTGGGGGGGAGGGGGATGGAGGCTCCAAGCAGGCACCAGTCCTTCCAGTGTTGCCCCTAAGAGGCTGCAGGCAGAAGTTGAGGCCTCCCCGCTCCCCCCAATGAAGAACCCCCTTCAGCCTGTCCCAATGAGAGCAAGTCTGCCAGCCTCCGGCTTCTACTGAGCTACAAAGGCGGACCAGGAAGAAGCCGGCCTGGTCAACAGCCAGAATAAGACCCAGGGGACTTCAGCGGAGAGCCGGCTGCCTATTCCAGCCCACCATGACCAGGGAGAAGGGAGCTAGGACGCCCGGCGGCCGGCTCTTCTTTGGACAGAGCAGTGTCTCAGCGGCAGAGCCCTGAGCCCATGGTCAACCCTCTCTCTCCCCCCCTCCCTCCCTCCCTCCCCCAGCCAGCCACCCCTGGCTCTCAGCTCCTGGGACCCTGGGGGATGGGCAGAAGGCCTCTCCCTCCCATCACCGCAGCCGCCCTCTTCACCTGCTGCTTAAAACGGGTCACAAAAGACCGGAAAGCAGGGGAGCCACGAATCGCCATCCCCGACGTGAAATTCTCTTCCACCACTTTGACGAAGACGTTGACAGTTGCCGTAATCATCACTGCCAAAAAGCGAGAGGAAGAGAGTGAAAAACCTCCGAGCCAGGGACCTCCAGGCCTCCCCCCCAACCCCGTCAGGTGACTTCTCCAGCTACGATGCCCCCCAAAGCCCGCGTTAAGAAGCCCAAGGATTGCTATAAGTCATCGAAGGGGGAATCCAGCTAACGCCCCGGGGCCTTGGCTACCCATGCAACCGCCTGGAGAACAAGCCCATAAAAACATTGACACCCTTGTGCCTCTGGTGCCCACATGCCAGTGCTCACAGCAGTTTCACGCCCAAGGCTGGGAGCGGTCGCTTCCCTGAGAAGGCAGGCCAAGTTGCCCTCCTTCCCTTCTCATCTCGCTTGGCGGGGCGGGCAGCTCACGCTTCCAATGGCTCCTGGAAACCTGCAGGATTGGGTGTCAGCCCTTCCAGGCTGGCTGGGCTTCCAAAGGAGGCCCTTCTATCGGGCACCAAAGAAGTCCAGGCGAGCGGGGCTACCCAGGCAGCACCATAGGTGTGTTACGCCAACCAAAGCTGGCAAGGGACCCTCCACAGTGGTAGCAGTGGAAGACCCCTGAACTCCTCCCTGGGCAGTGCCACCTCCTGAAGAGAGAGCGTGGGCCTGCCTGACCGAGAGCTGAGATGGACAAGCCACTGCATCTGGGCTGGGTCCACCTTCAACTCCCACCCAGATCCTTAAGGCCATGGGGGTGGAGGGGTGGGGGGCGCAAACTCATCCCCTCACGTTGCCCTCCCATGACGTTTCGTGATGTTTCCCCCCTTGCAAGAGCTGGGGGGGGCGAGTTCCCCTCGCAGCGGCACAGGCCAGCGGGCTGGGTGGTTTCCTCGCAGACCTTTCCTGGCCCAACTCAGTAACATCAGGAATGTAACCGTCATCGGTGAAGGCCATTTGGCACTGATGCCCTTTCCAGGGGTGGGATTCAAAATTTTGAACAACCGGTTCTGTGGCACGTTGGCTTAGTTGGTGGGCGTGGCTTGGTGGTCACAGGACTGGCCAGGTGTGGCCAACTCAACATCCCTCACATCGAGGCACGCATCTCCTCGCCTGGCCTCTTGTGACTGTGGGGATGCTGCAACCGTCGTAAGTGTGAAAAACAGTCATAAGTCACTTTTTTCAATGGTCACTCCACCCAAGCCAAGGACCAGCAAAGGAGGAGGAAAAAAAAATTCCGGAGAAGCTCCGGAGACAGGAAGTCTAGTCCTGACAAGAATGTAATAAGGGTTAACGGAGAGGCAGTTTCTGTAAGCAACTCCAGAATGTTTCCTTCCTGCCTTCCTTACAGGATTAGCCCTGTAATTTCTTCCAACCACCTGCTTTGAATGTTAACAACCGGTACGAATGGTAGAATCCCACCCCTGGCAGTTTCCCAGTTGGGTCATAAAACGGCCGCAAGAAAACCACCCAGCTCAGAGAGCACCCAAGACAACCACCAGGGGATGGGGTTCAAATATTTTTACCACCGGTTTGGTGGACGTGGCTTGGTGGGCGTGCTAAAGGCAGCTGCTGTCCATGGCGTCAGGAAAGAGGAGCCCCAGCTAGGCCTACAGAGGCTGCCATGAATTCCCCATGAAAACTCAGCACTCGTCCTCAACTTTTGTGGCGACCGGGAGGCACGCAAAAGAGGACTCACCCACAGTGACTTCATTGCTTGCCTCCTTGCACAATGGCTCCATGTACGGCGACAGACATTCGCAGCGATCCCCAATAGGAAACCCTCCGTTCCAACATTTGAGGGGCAGAAGGTCTGTTGTGGAGGCTTCACAGAACCAGATGACAGAATTAGTCAAAACAAAGCAGACAAAGGTCTAGAAACCATCTAAAGCAGTGGCCCCCAACCTTTTTTGTGCTACGGCCCGGTACCAGCATCACAAAATGATCCACGGCCCAGTACCGGTATCAGGACGCATGACAAGGCAAGGTGAGCCGAGCGACCGGCCAGCCAGCCGTCCCCCGCTTCTCCCCGCCACCTTCAACTCCTCCTTTGTACCTTTGTCAATGGGCTTCGCTTCGGGACGGTCGCTCGGCTCGCCTTGCCTTGGGTGCTGAAAGAACCCTCGCGCCTTAGTTTCGTTCGAAGCCGCCCCCCCTTCGATGAAACTAAGGCGCGAGGATTCCTTCAGGACCCAAACGCTGCTTTCCAACCAGAAAAGCTCACCCAGAAGCACTTTCTCGTCAAACAAGATGGCGGCGCCCAGCAAACCGGCGGCCCGGTAGGAAATGTTCCACGGACCGGGACCGGTCCGTGGCCTGGTGGTTGGGGACCCCTGATTTAAAGCATCACTGACAAAGGGTTTCCAAAACAAAAGACATAAAACGGGGGTCTTGGGGTTGTTTCCTTTTGCCATTACAAAAGCAGGTAACGTCTTCCGTGCTAGTAGGGACACAGAGCCTCCCCCATCTAAGAACCAAGGGATGCGTCGGAAAGTTCTGAATTACATCAAACTAAGCAAAGGATGACAATGGGACAGGATGACAACGGGACAATCACAACCTCTTCTAAAAACCAGAGGGATCACCTGGCTTGAACAAGGAGCAACGGGGGCCTCCTGGTACTGGGGTAATAATACACAAAAGTAGAAAACAAGGGAAATGAAATAACGTCCATGACAGAGAAGGAAGAGCACACAGAAGGACAGGACTGGCTCAGCTCTCCACAGTGGGAAAAGATTTTTAAACTAACAATAATTTCCGTGGAAGGGGTTGAAGGGAGAAGGCAAGAACTGGACACCACCAAACCAGAGGAGAAGTAAATGGCGTAAAAACAGAGAGGAAGTATATAAATAGAAACATAGAATCAAAATCAAGTGAAGTCTTTGTAAAGCTTTAGTAAGGCCACACCGGGAATACCACAACCACTTTTGGTCACCACATTACAAAAAAAGAGACTGTAGAAAATGTGCAGAGAAGAGCAACTAAGACGATTAAAGGCACGGAGACAAGAAAAGTTATGAAGAAAGGGGACAGGAATTGGATTTGGCTACTCGGGAGAAAAGAAAGACTAGCGGAAACATGATAGCAGTATTCCAGGATTTGAAGGGGTGCCGCAAAGAGAAGGGAGTAAATTTATTATCCAAAGTACAAGAAGGCAGGACAAGAAACAATGGTGGGAAAATAATCAAGATGAGAAGCACCAAAAATTAAGGAGAAACTTCCAAACAGTGAGAACAATTGAGCAGTGGAAAAGCTTTGCCTTCATACGATCTGAGTGATCAATCATTGAGGATTTTAAAGAACAGACGAGACAATTACTTGTGTGAAATGTTGTCCGGTCTCCTATTTGACCGGAGGACTGAAATACAAGTCCCATTTCAAGCTCTATGATGATTCATTGGATTGCTCAGAGCAAAGCAGTTTGGAAGAAGCCATTGAAAATAACATTTGGAAGAGGCAGAAGGGGAAAGAACAAAGCAATAATTCCATTAAGAGGAAATGGATTTCACAGTGTACACATTAATTATAATATCGATACCTGTACTCAGACTCGTAGATTGTAGGGTTCCCTCGTGTGACGCGTTCGTTGTCAAAGGAAGGAGAGTTTTGGTCCTTGGCTGCTCAGTATTCGACAAAGGAGGACTCGTTGACCTGGCTGACCCAGGCGACACCCCATGAGGGGGAAGAGCTCCTGAGGAAGTGATGGAAACCGTAGTTGTCTTCAGAGTGTGTGGTGCAGAAGAACTAGAGATAGCAGATGTGGCGGGATGCGATGTCTCCTGGCTCAGCGTTGGGATATGACTGGGAGACAAACTTGAGGGAGAAGAGACCACTGTACTTTGGGACGTTTCCAAGGTCGGAGCTGGAGAAAGAGATGAGACTTGTGAGTGAGTGGACGTCGTCTCCGTTGTGCTGGGACTGGATGAAG